TCATAGTCATAGTCATGATCATCAACCTAACCTAACACAACTATGAATCACAGCCAATGAGGCAATTGATGTGTGTTTACATTGAAAATTATTGCCAAAGAAACAAAAAATAAAATAAAACTTAAAAAAGATTTTCAGGCTAAAAATAAACCATGATGATGATGATGATGATGTTTAGACGTCGCTTCTTCATTATTATTATCAAATATATTTTACAGAATCATTGTAGAAAAATAGATGTTTTAATAATCAATAAATCTTTCGAAATCCAAATTTTGATTTCGGTGGATTTTTTTTTCTTTAGTTCAATATAAAATGTTGATGATGATGATGAAATAAACAACTGGGTAAAAAAATTGACAACACGAGAAAAAAGTGAAAAAAATTCTGGGATTTTTTTTTGTTTTAAAACAAAAACTAAATTTAGAAATTATACAGAAAATTTTGATTTTTTTCTCACCCAGTTTTGTCATTCGTTGTTGTTGTTATTGGAAAATTTAAATTCAGAAAAAAAACTGTAGGCTTAATTTTTTTCCCCAACTGAAATTAATCACTGTCAAAACAATGATTTTTTTTCTCTCGTTTGTTTGATCGTGATGATGTGTTACAAATATAATGCAGTAATAAATGCAGGAAATTTCGGAAAACCAAAATGAATGAATAATAAGGGATAATAATTTTGGATTTTGGTTTAAAATCACGAGAAAAACAACAATAACAACAGATTTTGATTATTATCTAGGTTTTTTTCGTTTGTTTGTTCATTTGTTCATCAGTATCCTTTATCCGGATTCAGGATTTTACAGTTTTTTTGGTTTTCACAAAACAACAATAACAAACTTGATAAGAGAAAAACAATAGTAAATAATAAAAAATGTTGGCTTGACTGTAATGCATTTTTACATTTGATTCGTTTAAATTTTTCTTTCTTTTCATCATTATTTTGCATATTATCATGATTTTGTGTAATGGTCAAGCAATGTATTTTTTTTAATTAATCCAAATTGAAAATTGATGATTTTCGTTTTCATTCATTGTCGTCGTCATCATTTGTAGGATTATCATTTAAAACGAACAAAAAACAAATCTAGGATGGTAACATTAAATAAAAATTGAACAAAATGAACAAAAAAAATGGACAAAAAAAAGTACAATTCGGATTAAACAAAGAAAAAAAAAGATTATCATCACCAGTGATGATGATGATTATTTGTTTGCAAACATTCGAATATTATTGGAATTTTATTCGAATTGCGCATGCTATGTTGATTCGATTCGTTTTTTCAGCTGAAAAAGAGAAAGAGGAGGATGAGGAGGATAAAAAAAAGAATCGAACGAATTCATTCGAAATGTGAATTGATGCGCAAATTGAATCGAAACGAAAATTTTGTTTCATTTTTTTGTATTTTTGTTTTGTTTTTTCGATGATATTTATTTCAATTTCGTCAAATGTATTGATCGATCGATACGGATGAATTTGTTTTTTTTTTCATCAAAATAATATAAAGTCTTTGGTTTTTTCTGTGTTGAATTTTCAATTGCGAACAAACAAACAACAAGTGAAAAACAAATAAACAACCGAAACAAACAACAGCATTTCTTCCTATATCGATCTATCCGACCGACCAATAAAATAAATTTTCAATTTATCATTTTTCATTTTTCATTCAAAGTTTTCTGGTTTAAATAATTTTGTTTTTTGGATTTGATCGAATGCCAAAAAATAACAAAAAAAATATCATTCAATCAATCGGCTTAAGTGGCCATGAATTTTCAATTTCAAATATTTCCATTCATTCTGGTTAAATTTATATTTTAAATGAATACTGTCTTTCGGCTTTTGATGATTCTACCGCCTAATCATGTTTACTATTGTGATGATTCATTCCAGCCCACCATTACCATCACCACCAACGACGACGACGACGATTTATTTGGCCAAACATTCGACATTCGCAAACATTCCAATAAGCATATAAATTGACAATGTAAACAAAATTTTTCCTCTAATTAATTAAATGATAATGAAACAAAATGATAATATCAACATCGACGACAACAACAACAATGATGATGATGATGAATTTATCATTGAATTTGGATCATCCTGGAAATATTCTGCTACTTCAACATCAACAGCCTCAACAACAATCACATTTTTATGAATCAGATATTATGATTCGATCGAATCATAATCGATTTAATGATAATAATAATTATAATTATGCAACAATCATTAATTATGATCCAAATAATAATGATCATTTAAATCATCAACAACAACAACAACAACATTCATTGCAATTAATGTCACCAACAACATTTTTATCAGCGACAATCATATTGACAATTGTAACCATACTGGCAACACCAAGTAATATTCTTGTTATTTGGGTTGTAGTGAAAACACCAACATTACGAATAAAAGCTGTTAATATGTTGATAGTAAATCTATGTTTATTAGATTTGATTGCATCATTATTAGATCTACCGCTTATATGGATCATTTTACATTTTAATTATAATCATATTCGTTTCGATAGAATTATTTGTAATTTGTATGTATCATTTCATTTTCATTTTACTTTTTTTACTTACTTTCTTTTCATCCATCCAATTTTCTCCCAGAGAAAATTCATTTCTATCTTCAATTGCCCAAATGTCCATAGAGATAGCAACAATATAATCATTTTTGATTCGGGATTGATTTTTATTTCTTCTTAACATCAATTGACGTCATTCCATTTCACTTTCCCTGGATCTTGTCATATAATTATATATATTTAATTTTTATTAGCTCATCCATTTTAATGATGGAAGAAAATTTTTTTTCTCTTTAACACTTTTTTCGTTGATAACTTATAGTTTTATACAGGGAAAAAAACTATTATAGCCAAACAAACAAACAACCAAATAGAAAAAAGTCATTTTATTTATTATTATTTTTATTTTATAATCATCAAAATTCATCAGGAACTAAAATGATAGGAAAAAAAGATAAACATTGTTACCATTGTTGATGTGAAGGACGAAAAGTCAATTTTATCAAACATTTCTATTTGCTTCCTGTTTTTTTGCAATTAATTAATTTTGGTTCTATTGTTTAATCTTAATTAATATAGCCAATTATTCATACATCATCTTACAATATCCGGACAATTATTATCATTTGCATCAGTTGGTTATGAACGTTATCATACAGTATCGAATCCATTTGATAAAGAAAAAGTACGAAAAATTACACATTTTTTAGTTATCAATATATGGCTGTTAGCTATATTGATACCAGCATTAGAATTACAATTTGCACCCGATACAATTGATTATGCATTTTGTACACGTTCAATACGTGGTACTGGTCATTTAGGAATCCTGTTTATAATGTTACCATTTGGTTTAGTTTGTTTTCTATTTGTTGCATATTTTTATGCACGTATTGTTACATTAGTAAAAAAACATTGTAAAAATGTTAACACTACATGTCGTAAATATGTTAGTGTTACTTTTGGGTAAGTTTGTTTGTTTTAATTTAAATTTCTGATTTTTGATTAATTAATAAAATATAGTAACGGAACAGACATATCAAATGGATCAGAATTACCATCAATCTATGGTGAAGTATGTGTTCTTGATTCAAGGAATCGTTCACTTGGCAAACGAAAAATTGAAGCCGAAACAGCAAAACGTTCATTTTTTGTTATTGTATCATTTGTTGCATTCACATTGCCTTATCCATTAACGATAATCATTGAAAGAATAATGAATTATCAAAATCAACAACCACAACCAGATCAAAAATCATTATGGTTTGAATTAGAATATTGTTTAAATGTTATGTCACTATTATCATCAGCATTTAATCCAATTATATATGGTCTTGCTAATCGACAATTTCGTAATGCATTCAACAAAATTTGTCATCGTTATTATCGTCGTTATAAATCACGTGATTATATCTAAGAGACAAACAAAACATAAAAATGGTGATGAAAAATAAACCCAAAACAATATCTGCTAGCCTAATGGATTGTTCCAGCAACAACAGCAGATGAAATTTCAAACATTAAAACATTCAACAACAAAAAAAAAAACATTTTTTCTATTTAATATGAAAAAAATCATTTTTTTTACTATTGATCGACCAAAATAATATTCATCCGATTAATTTAGCAGCAAACATTTGTAAAAAAAATGCTGCACTTTTTTCTTTAAAGAAAACTGAATTGATTTCTTTTAAAAATCAAAAAATTGTTCCGATAATGTAAAACATTTCAGCGACGAATATGTATGATTGAATACATTCATTATGGTAATAAATGATGATAATGTAACCGAACTGGCTGTATTATGATAGTGAAATGGATCTTCAATCACAATAAATGATGAACCGGTTATCGATGATGATAATCGATTATCAAATAATTTACGAACCGAAAATGTTTGATGATAATCAAAACGTTGTTGATAATATTCAATAAAACGATAGAATAATTCACCTAATGACCAATGATTTTGGCAATGAAATTTTTTTCGTGTTTCCAATAGGAAAATATCCAGATTTTCTTGTAAACGACCACTATCAACAATATGATCAAATTGTTGTTGTTGATCATCAGTCGATGATCCAGATGATAATTCAATTTGCATTAATGGTAAAATTGGTGGTTGAATATTTTGTAGAAAATGTATGGCCATTAAACTAAGGCTATAACTGGAAAGCATACCATAAAATGGTGAATCGATACAATTTTTACGTGCCCATGATTTAATTGCTATGACTAATGGTGCAACACGATCATCTAGTTCTCTGCGAAAAAACAAAACAAAATGATAATGGTCAGATGAAAAAAAATAGAAAGTAAAACTTACTGATAAAATGTTAATAAAAATGTATTCCGGATGGATAGATCACCATTCAAATTTAAATCAACAGCTAAACGATAAAAATTCCATTCAGTTTCAATTTTTAGAATCGGTACACGGGCATTCATTAGTAAATTGATTTCATTTGTTAGATGAAATTTTTTCATTAAAATATCTTTAATTGATTTAAGTAATTTGATTGCCATTGTTTTATCATGACGATAACGTTGATCAATATGGCCATCATTATCATAAACCAACATACAAAGATCCATATCACTTGAACGTAATGAAAATTGTGTTTGTGTTGAACCAACCATATATAAATCAAATTGAACATTATCCAATTGATTATTAAGTATATCATAAAATTTTTGACGTATTTTTAATTTGGTTTGATAATCTTCTTTACGTTGTCGATGTTTTTCATAAACGAAATATATTAGATCATCGTACTGTTTTTTAAGAAGTGAATGGTAAAAAACGAAATCAAAATTGACCAAAAAAAAGAAAGAAAATATTGAAAATATCTTACATAATTAGGAAAGTTGGATACAACTGAGAACATTTTGTTTCTTGATTTGAATGATTCGGTTAATTTGTTTCGATCAATAATAAATGAATGAATGAAATAAATAAAATCGATCCGATCAAGACGAATTTATTTATTGTTTTTTCATTGAAATGAAATGTATTTTCTTAAAATTGATCATTTTTTTTGCTGATTCGAATGACTTTTTATCGGTCAAAGAAAGAAAAAATAATTTTTTGAATTAAATTCGAACATTTTTGTTTTTTCGCCCATTATCGATACAATCGATAGTTGACAGTTGTTATAAATAATCGTTACTCACTTACACATGTGATCAAATCAAATTCATTTGATGCATCATGGTATCATCATCATCATCGATTGTGACGAATTTTGATTCATTAAAAAAATATTTCGATATTCATAATCGTACAAAAGATGTACAGGCACATGTATCAAAAGTACATTCAGTCGATTGGAATGCTGATGGTCGTCATTTAGCATCGGGTAGTTTTGATCGTACTGTTACATTGTTTTCATTTTCCAATGATAAATTAACCAAAGATCATACGCTTAAAGGTTTGTTTAACCTTATTTGTTTTGTCATTTTGATCTGTTTCTTTTTATTTTCCTGACCAGGACATACTGATTCGGTTGATCAATTATGTTGGCATCCGATTAACAATGAAATATTGGCTACAGCTTCATTGGATAAAACTGTACGTTTATGGGATGCACGTATGGCCAAATGTATTGCAACAATAGATACACCGGGTGAAAATTTGAATATAAGTTGGTCACCAAATGGTCATACAATTGCTGTTGGTAACAAAGAAGATATTGTTACATTTATTGATGTTCGTTCATTCAAAATTCGTACACAAAAAGAATTTAAATTCGAAGTTAATGAAATTACATGGAATCGTGAAAATGATCTATTTTTTCTTACTTCAGGACAAGGTTTTGTTTATATTTTAAGCTATCCAAATCTTGAACAATTATATGTTCTTACTGCTCATTTGGCTACTTGTTTATGTATTGAATTTGATCCAACGGGTAAATATTTTGCTGTTGGTTCAGCCGATGCATTAGTTTCATTATGGGATTCGAAAAATTTAGCATGTTTACGTACTGTATCACGGCTAGAATGGCCATGTCGTGCTATTAGTTTTAGTCATGATGGACAATTACTTGCATCAGCATCTGAAGATATGTTTATTGATATATGTTCAGTGAATACTGGTGAACGTATTGCAGCTATACCAACTGAATCACCAACATTTACAATTGCATTTCATCCACACAGATATCTTCTGGCATATGCATGTGATGATAAAGATGGACATCAACGTGATGCTGGTACAGTAAAATTATTTGGTTTTAAACAATCCGATTAAAATTGTAAATTCAAACAAAAAAAGAAAAAATTTTTATTTAAATTTCAAATTGATTTTTTATTTTAATTATAATTTTTATACATAATATCAATATAAAATAAACTATAAGTGAATAAAATGAATGAATGAATGTGAAAAAAAATTCCTAAATGAATCATCATATTGATAGATTCGATTTTCATTTGCCAATTTCATTAGATACGTTTTTCACGTTGTGCAGACAATTTACTACGAACAAATTCCAATTGACGTTTAGCTTCACATTGTGGAAAATAATCCAAATTATAATAAACAGGTGCAATACGCAGTAGCCATTCGGGTTTAATTTCCGTAACTGTACGTATATAATTTTTTGCCGTTAAAACAAATTCATTATAAAGAACCCAATCAGGTTTATGATCTAAAACTGATGATGGATGTAGATAAACAATTTGATTATCTTTGATTGTTAAATATGCACCATTACGTTCAAGATGTGCAACTTGCATAAAATATCCCGAAACTAATGCTTTACGTATATTTAGATAATAATCTTTGGATGTAAATTCTGTTGAAATACGTTTCAAATTAAAACGATCCATTATTCTAGCTAATTGTTGCCGTACATTATCAGCTTGTTTTAATGAACGATAATTGATAAAATTTTCATAACACCAATTTGCATCTTCATGATTTTGTTTGAATGCATGATAAACATTTAACAATGTTAAATGATCACCATCAATATGTGCAAAACGTAGCTTAGCATCATCAGCAGCTTTTTTATGTTCATTTGGTCGTACAAAACATTGTGGTACCGACAGCATTGATGCAATTGATAATATTTCATTTGAACAATTATAATCACATGATGATATTAACATTTTTGATAATTGGGGATCCAATGGGAATTCAGCCATAATAGCACCAATATCAGTCATTTCACCTTCATCATCCAGTGCACCAATATAATTTAATAATTCTAATGCACGCATTAATGTTTCAGGTGCTGGTGGATCCATAAAATCAAAATGAACCAAATCATGTATACCAAGTTTTTTTAGCTGTAAAACAACCGTTCCAAGATTTGAACGTAAAATTTCTGGATATGTTTGTTCTTGCATATCATTTTTAAATGCTTTTTCCGTATATAGTCGAAAACATTTTCCTGGTTTTGTACGACCAGCACGACCTGCACGTTGTTGTGCTGATGCACGTGATATTGGTGATACCAATAATGATTCAACACGAATTCTTGGATTATAAACTTTTTGTTTGGAAAATCCTGGATCAATAACATAAACAACACCATCGATTGTTAACGATGTTTCAGCAATATTAGTTGATATAACAACTTTACGTCCAACAGCACCATTTGAACGATTTGGTGGTGCTGGTTCAAATATACGTTGTTGAAGATTTGGTGGTAATGTTGAATATAATGGTATACATTTTAATTGTCCAACATCAGGCCCGAGGTTATCAATTTCACGTTTTATTCGTTTACATGCTTCTTCAATTTCTTCTTGGCCGGTAAGAAATACTAAACAATCACCTTCTTCTTCACAAACATGAATCTGAATAACAGTACGAATTGCTGCTTCCAAATAATCACGTTCTGGTTCAGGTGTATAAAATATTTCAACTGGATGTGTACGACCAGGTACATTCATTAATGGTGCATTATCAAAATATTGTTGAAATTTTCCAGCATCTAATGTTGCACTCATGACAATAATTTTTAAATCAGAACGTTTTGTTACAACTTGTTTCAAAACACCCATCAAAATATCGGTAGATAATGTACGTTCATGTGCTTCATCCAATAAGATAATACTATATGCTTCCAATAATGGATCGGACATTGCTTCACGTAATAACATACCATCAGTACAATATTTTAATATAGTACGTTGTGAACAACAATCTTCAAAACGAATCGAATAACCAACTTCTTGTCCAAGTTGTACATCCATTTCTTCGGCAACACGTGTAGCAACTGACATTGCAGCTACTCGTCTTGGTTGTGTACATGAAACACCAATACGGATTTTTCGTTTTCGACAATAATCAACACACCATTGTGGTATTTGTGTTGTTTTACCCGATCCAGTTTCACCGACCAAAACAATTATCTGACTTTGATCAAGTAGATCGATAAACTTGCTTTGATATTCCCAAACTGGTAGCTGTATTCGTTTACGAAATAATTCATAATATCTTGGTGAATATGCTGTGTTTGTATTCGGATTAATTCCGGCAGTTGTTGTTGTTGAACTTGAAGTCGATGATGAACTGCCATCATCTTGATCATCACTTTTCATTGCAAGGAAAAAACAATCACAAAATTTTTAATGAAAAAAAACAATGTTTAAAACAAACTTACGCTTTTTTAGTAGGAGTGAAATTTTCCAAATTAATACGTTGTCTTTTCATTATTTCATCAGTGTTTTTATAGAGCAAATTTCAATCGGAAAAAAAAGAAAAGAAATCAAACTAAATTTCCGATTAAAACGATTTAAAATCGTAAAATGATTTTCGATGATAACGAGCGCTAATCACTCAACACAAGGTTCCATTTACACGCCGCTAAGGCTACACCTTGAGATGTGGGAGGAGCAAAATAGCCTCATGAATCTCATGAGACATCCAGAATAATAATTTCGTCATGAAGTTTATGAACGGAAAAAGCATTCGAATTGTTTTCGAATTTATATTCTTTCCGTTTATTCGGATTTATTTTTCGTTTTCTTTATTCGTTGTTCAAACAAGCTATTTCTTTATAAAAAAGGCATTTTTATTTATTCAAATTAAAAATAAATAAAATTGCTCCCAATTAGTCCTCATGAAAGATTATCAGCTTTCTTTAAATTTGTAATTAAAAAGGAAATACTTTATCTTCTCTGGCATATATCTCAACCAGCCATGTCAAAGATCATGTGAGAAGTATCAATTGAAATTAACAATGTTCTTCGTGACTCGATCAAATTATCAATGAATGAAAATGAATGTTTATTGGAAAATGTAAAGTATTATTGTGATTAATTAATAATAAATTGATTTTATAATTGAGTTATAACCATTTTTAGATTGGCTGGATCATTGGAACAATATAATGAATTGTTCAATTGATGTAGCATGTCCATTGCTGCCATCCGATGAGAATCACTTTTATTTATAACACCATAAAACATTTTGATTAAACCGGAAAGCATCATACGATCACTTGGTGCTAAATTAGACATAAAATATTCTTCATCATTTGGTATTGTTGGTGTTGAATATGTTAATGTTTTTTGCTGTAAATAATTGCTTACAGAATTCGCCAATTCATTCTTTGGGCTATTTTTTTCGACAGTATCAATACGAGTTATTGCCATGTGCATTCGATACATTGAATCAAAAAATGGCCAATTTCTACCATCACCAGATGCAGCACCTGTTTGATATTTCATTTTTTTATTAAAAGTTGAACGTAAATTTCGGTATTTTTTCTTTGCATCATCGCCAGTAAGTGGATTTTTAAAATCAAATTCCACATTTTTACTTGCAAAAAATTCTCGTGCAGCTTTTGTTACAGCATCGGCAACTTCTTGCCATTTTTCGGTACGTGTTTTGTTCATTTTAAAATTTTCATTGCCAGTATCGATCAAAAATTCCATTCGAATTTCAATTTCATCCAATAAAACGTGTACCAATTCTTCTTTGTCAAAGATAATCTTTGAAATGTCCATTATCAATTTAATCAATTTAACAATCGGTGGATAACAATACAAAAAAAATGAATTCAAATTACTCTTGGCTGTGGCGATCGACTGAAAATAAATCATCCGAGCTGAGGCACAACAAAAACATAAAGGAGTTCTTTGTTGGCCGCCTCAGTGGCAATTGCGCTCATATAAATAAACACACACCGCATACGTATGATGAACGACACTATCGATACATGATGAAATATGATGTGTATGGTAAAAAATGAAATGCATGAAAAATTCTTAATTTTTTCAAAAATTATTATTATTATTATCAAATCATCAACCCTAATATAATTTCTTTTCATAATATATAGCCAGAATAGAAAAAAAAATGTTTTGATAAAATATTAATATTGCGAAGAATTTAAAGATGAAATGTTGAAAGAAAAAATGAAATAAGATTCCTGGTCATTATCATCATCATCAAACTGGATTGATTAATTTCGTTTTTCATTTTGTCATTGATGATGATGATGATAATAATTATATCAATCAAATTGAAAATAATAATACAATCTATATATTATGGAGACAATTAGTGTGTGTTTGTACAAATTCAAAAGAATTCTTAACGAAATGTTTATATTCCAATTTCTCATAATAAATGTTGTTGATTTTTAACATTGGAAGATGTCGATGGAAGCGATATTAAATGTTGTTGTTGTTCATCATTCAAAATGTTATTCGCTGTTGTCGATGATGATGATGATGATGATTCATTATTCATAGGATTTATATCAGAATTTTTTCGTTGTTGTTGTTTCAATGATTCCAAATATTCAGCTTGTGATTGTACCAATACTTGAGCTAATAATGGATCCGATATATCAAAATCATTTAAACCTAAAATTGAATTTTCAAAAGACATTTTAATTACTAAAATTAAGATAATTCCAGGAAAAAAATTACCAAGAAATGATGCAGGTAATTCATCAAGAAATGTTGATGCGGCAGTCACAATAGAATCATCATCATCATTAGCATTTTTTATTGTTGTTGTTGCTGCTTTTGGGCTTCTTGATGATGTTGGTGGTGGTTTCATCATCATCATCGTCGAATCATTCGAACGTTTCGGACTTGAACGTTGTTGATGATAATGATTATGATGATGATGATGATGATGATTCGAAGAAGAGCCACCTTTCATCATCATCATTGATGTGGTGGCTGCCATCGATGCGGCCGCGGATGATGATGAACATCGTGGTGAATAACATCTTGGTGATGATGATGATGATGAATTTATGTTATTATTTTTGTTGGAAATCGAATCCTCATCAATATTATTCAATGATGATGTTGTTGTTGATGAAGATTTTGTCATTGTTTGTCGTGAACGTCGTTCATTATCACGAAGCCATTCAATATATGATTCACGTGCAATTTGTTCTTCAATTGCTTCATTTGTTGCTTCCCAATCTGTTGCACGAATTTTATCTTCTAACATTGCCTATTTTTAAGAAAAAGATTTGTTCAAAAAAAATTTTGCAAAAAAAAAATTCTCAAAAATTTACCTGTTCCAATTCATGTTGTTCAGACATAAATAATGCTTTTTCTACCAAAGATTTTTCAGCAATACCTGGTTTGAATGCCGGCAGACCAAGACCAACACCAATAGTTGCTTTATATGGATTTACAATTGAATTATAATGTGTATTACGATGATACGATAATCTTATTGGTTCATTTTCCGTTTTTTGACAATTTTCAATATTAATTGGTTCAGATGAATAATGATAAACTTGTATTGGTCGATTAAATATTTCACTTAATGCTTGTATTTCAATATGATTTCCATGTATATGTTCACAACGTTTACGTCGAATATAATCGGCAAAATTTTCCGTTACATATTGGGAAAAATAATCACCATTTTTTTCCTGCATATGAAAATCAATTCAAAGAATTGTTCTAACAGAACAACAACAAAAACAATAAATCTCTCTTACCATATAATCCATACATAATTTTCTAACTGCTGAATGCATTTCTTGATCACCATAAACTTGATCAGCTTTGGAAAAAAATTATTATAATTAAAATGAAGAAAATTTTCAAATCAAATCGATCACATACCAACTGCACGAAATAAACAAGCACCATCTTCAGACATTTTTTTAATATTGAATCCTTTTTTTCGAATCATACGTTCAAATTGACGTTCTTTTTCATCCCAATCGGTTTGTGATGATGGATCATTATCATTTGAATTATTACGTTGATATTCATCACCACTATTATAACCGGAAAAATCTTCTTCTTCTTCTTCTTCATCATCATTATTATTATCATTATTATTATTATTGCTACAACCCGGTACATTTATGATTGAATCTTGATCTGTTTTTGCTGTTGTTGTTATTGGTAATGCTATTGCAGGTAATGATGATGATGATGATGTTGTTGTTGTTGTTGCTGTTGAACGTATAGAATTCGATTGATTCGAACGTATATTAGCATTATTGATTAATCGTTGATGTGAATGATGATGATGAAGATGATTACGTTCATCATTATTACTACGTTGTTGTTGTTGTTGTAAACGATGTCTACGTTTACTTGATAATTGTGATCCATGTGTTATATGTCCATTATCAGGTGCTGGACGTTTAACATCGATTATTTGGCCACCAACAATGGATGATGATGATTGTGTTGTTGTTGATGGTGGCTGTTGTAATCCACCACCAACAACAACAACATTTGATGAATGACCAACATGATGTTGTTGTTGTTGTTCTTCATTTGTTGTCTGTTTTGATTGTTTCTTTTTCGGTAATATAGTCATTATTGAATTTTATGGAATCTATATTTCGAAAGTTTTGAAACCAAACAAACAAAAAGAATTTCAAAATTAAATTTATCAACAAAACAATGCAGACTTACAGAAATTTTTCCATACAAAAATGAAAAATTCGAAATTAAAAAAAAAAGAAGAAAAGAACCAGGATTAACACCAGGAAAAAAACTGTTTGCTTCAATGGGAAAGAATCAATATTTTCAAGTTTAGTTTCAATTGAAATTATATGTACAAAGCTAAATTGAGTGGAAAAATGATGATCAAATGTGCGTAGCATTCGAATACAAAAGAATTTCGGAATTTTTTTGTTTTGTTTTGCTGGAAAATTTAATCAATCTAAGTTTGGTGGTGGTATATGTGATGAGCAAATTTTGTGTGTTTGAAGAACAACAAAAATGAATGAATGAATGAAATTGGTTAAAGATGAATAATAATAATAATATTCATAATTCGATATAATCGATTGTTAATTTGATAAACTTTATCGTGAAAAAAAAAATTCTATAAATATTTTCTTGATTTTTCATCGGATAATTCCATGTTACCATCGTTTGACTATCTTCTTCTAGGAATTCTTTTTCTTTTTTCAAAAATACAAAAATCCATAACGATTGATTGATTGAATTGATGTCGAAGTTCGTGTGTTGCTCATAAAAAATATTCAGCAGATTTGTTGTTGTTTTGGCTCGCCAGATATTTTTTTTTATTTAATTCAATGGAACAACAAAAACAAAAAACAAGTTTGCTGCTGTAGCTTCTTTTGAAAATCCATTTTTTTTGGGAAAAGAAGTGGAAAACAAATGAGAAATATAGTCGTGGCTGGTCAAATGAATGAAAAAAAAATCTGTTTACTTTTTTTTTTGGCTCACATCATTATCTTGATTGAGCGATCGATAGATGGCGTTTGTTGATTGTTTGATTATTAATCGAACATGTGTGATGTGTTCTAATTCGAATTTTTTTGTTTTTTTTTTGAAATTTGAAAAAGAAAAATGTCCACCAAATCGAAACATTTAAAGAATAAATCACATCGACGACATCAAAATAATGATGACGATGATGATGACGATCAAATGACAAGTAATGTTGTTTTTAATCAACGAAATCCAAATGATAATCCCGATGATGATGATGAGGATCAAAGTGAAGAAGTTGATGACGATGACATCGAAGATGATAATGATGCTGATGAAAATATTGAATGTAATATTAAAATTGCAATGTGGGATCTACAACATTGTAATCCAAAACGTTGTACTGGTCGTAAATTGGTACGAATGAATCTTTGTCGTTGTTTGAAATTGGGTCAAAAATTTAATGGTATAATATTGACACCAATTGCAACCAGATGTGTATCACCATCTGATCGCAGTATTGTTGATAATGATGGTATAGCTGTTGTTGATTGTTCATGGAATCGTATTGATCAAACACCATTTCATAAAATGAAAGGTCGTCATTTACGTCTACTACCTTATATGTTGGCAGCAAATCCAATAAATTATGGTACACCATGTAAATTATCCTGTGTTGAAGCAATTGTAGCAACACTTTGGATTACTGGCCATATTGATCTAGCTAGATTTTATATTGGTAAATTTAAATGGGGCAATGGATTTGAAAAATTAAATGCCGAATTATTTCAAAAATATTCTTTATGTAAAAATTCCGAACAAATTATTGAAATACAAACAAAAGCAATGGATATTAATCCGATTATTGAACAAACAAGGAATCTTGATCTACCACCATCGGAAAGTAGTAGCGATGATGATGATGATGATAATGATCAGGATAACGATAATAAAGGATAATGTAAACACAGAAAAAAGGTTGGCAGCAATTTTTTCACAAAATTAAATTAAATTTTTTGGCCAATTTGATTACATCAGGTTTTTGATCACAATTCAGATTTTTGATCAAATTTGTAAATAATTCTTTCAAAATTCTGTATTCATTTTCCGAAAGAAATGAAAAACATAAATCAAATCTTGGCATTTGAACAATAGCTTTATCAAGTATTTCATAAACTAATGATTGATTTGATAGCTGAGAAAGTTGATCCAATACATCGAATAATAATGATGATTCAAATGGATATTCGAATATTTTTCGATAATTATCAATTGAAATGATGGATAAATATTGTTGTTTCATATCGGATCGACTCAATTCACGCCAAAATTGATCAAATTCAATAAAATTTCGTGGTTTTTGTTCGGGTATCAATTTTCGAATATGATTTTCCAATTGTTTTTCAATTTGTTGATCATCACCATCGTTATCGATATTCATTGATTGATCAGAATCAATTTGGATGGGTATATCGATTAATGGCATTTTTGATTGTAAATTTTTATCCTGAATCATTATCGGTTTCAATCGTATTGGTTGTTTGGAATTTAATATTTTTACTGTTTGTTCAATTTCTTTTTGGATATCCAAATTATTTGGTGATAATTTCTTTGCTTCTTCAAAATCCTGTAAAGCTGATCGAAAACGACCAAGATTTTTTCTTGCTAATCCACGACGATAATAAGCTTTAGCAAATTTCGTATCTAATTCAATAGCTTTATTGCAATCATGTTCAGCATAAAGATAACTGGAATGATGATAAAGATGGGAAAATTTGAAAAAAATTTCTAAAATTCAAAACTTACTCTTCACATTTGATATAAGCGAATGCACGATTCGAATAAAGAATCGAATTTGATGGATTCAATTGAATAGCATCACTGTACATGATGATTGCATTTTTATAATCACCTTTGGAAAAATATTCATTTCCTTTTGATTTCAATTGATCCGATGATGATGCTTTGGCCATATTTTTAATCCAAAAAAAAAACGAAAATGAAATTTTCAAAAAAATCGAATGAAAAATTCAATTTGGTTAAAAATTCGACCATTTCGATTCGAATGATTTCGAAATGTGTAAATAGATTTTGTGATTCGAAATTTTTATTTTTTTGAAAAAAATTTTAAAAGTTTTTTTTATTTTACAATTAAAATTACGATGATGATCATGAAATTACAGAAATATGAATATAATTAAAAATGAATGATTTCGATCATTGATTAATTTTACGCATATCAATATTTTCCAACATAACTAATGGTTTAAGAAATTCGGCAAATTGTTTCATTTCATCAGTTATGGCTGTTTGATATGATGGTGCAATAACACTTAATTCAACTAGATGTGAATTAGTTATTGGTTCAAGATTTTCATCGATTAACATATTATTAGTTGCAACTAAACCACCACTACTACCACCACCATTAATACGAAATATTTTAAAAACCAGAATTTTCATTCGACCTTTACGAAACATCCAACCACGAAGAATGAATTCAAATTCTAATTTAAATCCCATTTCCATAAGAAATTGTGTAATGTTTGATGTTGTATTACAATCGATACATGTACGTGATAATGTTGCACGATTACGATCAGTATCATTATGGCCAAGATAACGTAAATTCCATGGATTATTTGGACAATCTATTGATCGTCGAACACGTAGCATACTTGATGGACCGTTTGGAAGTTCTATGGCGGAATAATTGTAAATTGACATTCAAACAATAAGAAATTGAGAAATGATATCACCAAGAAAAAAACTTACTGATAGCAAAAACCATTTCATGATCTTTAAATTTTGGTGGTGGCATATCGGAATTATCACAAAAACCACGTAGTTTTTGTAATAATGCATCACATGATTCATCCAAAATACTACCCTGTAATAGAAATTCATTTTGTGAAAATGCATTTTTTCGTTGTTGAAAATTTGATTCCGTCATTTTTTTCGATTCTTTTGTTTAAGAAAAAAATTCATGAATCGAACGCGAAAAATTGACAGCAACGATGGTTGATCACGTGATCAAATGATTCAGATTCATTCAAATAATACGTGCATCAATAATTTTTTTAATTTAAAATTTTTTAAAATTAACAAAAGTAACACTAATATAAATCTTTAAATAATAAACAAGAACCAGGTATATTTGGTTGATAATAATTATAATGACCATTAAGTTGTTGTTTTTGTTGTTGTTGATTAGATAATGATGATGAATCAGGTGAATAAAGGGTTTTTGATTTTGGCCTTTTTTTATTTGTAAGATTTTTATCATCATCATCATTATAATCATCAACACTTGCAATAATTGTATTTGTATCACTTGCCGTATCAGTCGATATAATCGATGATGCTCGTGGATTATTATGTATAAACATACGTTCAGCTGATTCACTAAAACGTACTGTTGGTGATCGACGATAATAAGATCGATGATGGTTATGATGATGATGATGATGATTGTGGTCATCATTATTTCGATCATTAATAATCATTGATCTTGGATTAATACTAGAAGAAGATGCTGTAGAAGAATTAGGATGGGTAGTAATAGTCGACGATAATCCACCGCCATTATTATTGATTGTCATTGATGATAATAATGTTGAAATTTGTTTTTCCATTAATTCAATTTTATTTGAAAGATTATCCAATTTTGAATCAACATCTTTAATCATTTGTTCCATATTGAATGTTAAATCTTTACTATTTTTACGTAAATTTGATGGTGGTGGTGATTTTGATCTTGCCATTCTTTTCATCCTTATGATCGATGATTGATCAATATCACCATCATCATTTAATTCATTACCATTATCATCATTATTGTCGTTATCAATATTGCCATTAATATCTTCATAATTGATTCTATTTGGTCTATGATGATGATGATTTTGATGATGATGATGATTCAATGATCGATTATCATCATTGATTGTATTTGTATCCATAATAATTTGTCCATTCATTGATTGATTATTATCATATGATGGTGATGGTATTTTATGACATAATTCAAATGCCTGTCCAATTGTACGTACAATATTGATTGCTAATGACTATTGGGTTTTTGATGATAAAAATCAAAAAAATCAATCAGAATTCAGAATCAATCGAAAAACACAAACCTGTTTAGCAGCTTTAAATACAAAACATCTAAATATACTACCTTCACGCGCAATATAAGAAAATATATGTAAATCAGATGAATCATGTGATACGTAGAATATTCTTGAAAGAAAAAAAAATGATAAAATTCTGTCAATCAAATCATTGAATCGAAACAAACCTATGTATTGGATGATGTGTTATGATTAGATTGTTGTTTGTTGTTGATGGTAATGCATTATTGGTGGTTATGGTAGAATTACGACGGTTGTTGTTGTTGGTCAACATCATTATCGTTGATTGTCGTTTTTGTTGTTGTTGAAGGAAATTTTTACCATTCGATGATAATGCTATTCGTACACCTTCATCCGATACTGTTAGAATAGTTTTACGTTTTTTATCTTTACGTAAACGACAATCCGATCGGATACGACGCATTGCAGAAACAATTTCCATTCTTGAATTTGGACGTGGAACAGTACCACAACCAACAAGTTTAACCACAAATGTAATACCCATACGAAATTCATCCACAGTTCTTGGTGGTTGTCGTTGATCGAATAAAGCATCTTCTAATGTTCGATAATTTTTTCTTCTTCGTAATCTCATTTTGAATGAGGGAAAAACAAAAAAAAACTTTAAAATCTGGACGTCGAAACAAAAGTCAAAATCACAATTTGATCAACAGTAAAAATCACGTATTCTATTTGCCCTGACTTGATATAATTTCTTTGAGTGCGTGCAGTTATGTGTTCATCACCATCATTCATTCATTAACTGAGTTTTTTCAAATTTGTTTGTTTTTTTGGCATCATCAGCCAAAAAGCCGCATCGTCGTTGTATATAAGGAAGATCGAAGGAAGAAGAAGAAAATCATTGAGGAAAATCTTTTTTCACATGTGTGTGAATGATAAACTTGAAAAAAGAATCCAATTTTTTACACAATAAAATGTCGCCGGTGCGCAGTAAATTTGGTCTCTTTTTTTATAAAGTTGCTTTTTTTGGCACGAGCATGTCCCATTTGGGTTTTTCAGTTTTTTCGTTCGTTCGTTCGTTCAAAATAGATTCTAATATTGAAGCGTTTGATTTTCCAAATCTTTTTCGGTTTTTTGTTGTCGTCATTCTTTGGTTTGTGATTGTTGCCTGCTGCTAATTTTTTTTCATTCGTTCTTCACACCATCACCACCATCACCATAAATAACATCGATATACGTCAATGATGCATGTTTATTTTTATAACTGAAAAAAATAATAAATCGATTTTCATTGACTAATTTCCAATGATGATAGTGGTGGATCAGAATTTGATTTTTTGATTTGAAAAAGATCAACAAAAAGTGAGTGGGTTTGCAATCGATTAATCGATTTTAATCGTTCATCGATTATCGATTGATCGAAGGGTTAATCTAAAGAAAAAGGGGGAAGAAAAAAATTCTTGAGTTAAATAACGAAAGAAATTAAAAGATAAATTACTCACCACAACCACTGCCACTATCATTAATTATTCATTTCATTGATCGACTTCCGCATCGTGATTAACAGTGAACGAAAAGATTTTTTCTTTCTGAAAGATAGATAACCAAACAAACCAAACACACAGGAAAAAAAAGGGTTAGCCAAATATCTTGAATATCACACACACACAAACTTGATTGATTTTTGGCATAACCCTACACCTTTTTTCTTTCTTTCTTTCTGAAATGAAATTGTTTGAAACAAAATTAATCAACTTACCTGATGTTTTTGTTTTTTTGAAGGGGAAAAACAAAACAAAACAACAAAATTCGAATGATATTCGAACCATGTTGGTTGTATACACACACACACACTGTTGTTATTAATGACCCCCCTCAATATTCATTAACATCCAAGTGTCAAAAAAAAAAAGATTTTGTCAAGGAAGGAATTCGATATCAAACATCGATGATGGTGGTTGGTGGTTGATGGTGTTTCTTTTTCTTTTATTGGTGTGATTTAAACAAAAATTTCGAATCAAAAAAATGACGCCCAAATTATCATTTCATTCGAAATTGTTTACACTTCCTTCCTTCATGTTATTTATGAACAGGACGGAAAAACAAAAAAAAATACTCTTTTCACATATACAGTGTTTGTTTATGTTCGATTTAATCTTTTTCGAAAAGAATTTCTATCCGAAAAAAACTCCAGACTTTGAAAAATAAATTCCTTGATTTATCTTGGCAAATCTTCGAACAAGAAAGAATCCCATTCATCACCTTGGCCTTAAATTCAACTTTTTTTTTCATTTTGAAACAAAGATTCAAATCAGTGTTTCAAACAAAACATTCGGTGTGATTCAATTCGTGATGTTTTATTTTTTTTTCTTCGTTGAATAAAACAGACTTTGCAGTTGTTATTTTTTTTTTCTTCAAATTTTCTTGCTGGATGTGATGATAATATCTTTCATTTCAATTCTTCATCTGCAATTTCTTTCTGTGGCCAAACAACAAAACATCTTTTAATCTTTTAAAATCTTCTTTTTTTCTTCTTGTCGAATGAATGTCAATGTTGTTATTTTAATGATGAAATGTTTTTTTTTTCGTTAAAACACTTGTCTCAAATCAAATGATCAAATAAGACGAATCTTTGTGTTTAACACTTCAACATTGATCATCAATATGATTATTATTGTGCAACATTTTTTAACACAGAAAAATATGTGTTTCAAAACTAAACTAAATAACTTTTTCTACTATACACCACCCACGATATTTATTCGACCCGATTTTTTTTCTTCTCTCGACATTTGTTAATGGAGATATTCAACCCTTCATTATAATTGAAGGGATTGAATTTGAATTCAAAACTTTCAACCAAAAAAAAAACAAGATTAATTTAGTTGATCCAGATTTTTTCCTATGACTGAAAGAAGATAAAGATGATGATGATCTTTATCCATAAGATAAACTAATTAATGGCAATTAATTAGCACATCATCATCATCATCATCATTAAAATTCTCATATATACAGGATCTTCAGGTGTTCAGGTAAGGAAAATAATGATCATGATGATGATGATCCATAATCCTTGACCTTGTACGAATATTTTAACAGCTTAGCAGGGATGATGATGATGATGAAGAGACAACGAAATTTTTTTTCTCGTATTTTTAATTCGGCTTAACACTCTGTGTGATGGAGAACGCGTTAATAAAAACCGGATAAAAAAAATAAACCAAAAAAAATCGAATAAAGATGAAACGAAATTAATCTAGATCAAAATTGCAAAGGTGAGGTAAAATTATTGAGGGTAATTAGTGGAAAAAAGCAAAGCAAAGATTTATTTTGATTCAAAAATTTTACCTTTATTTTTTTATAACACTAACATAGAATTTATGGCAAAATTCGTAATGATGATGATGTTTTTATTGTTGTCTTTTAATGCTGGGGAGAAAACTTACTTTTCACTTTTTCCATCATCATCATCTTCGTTTTTTTCTATGTCGGTCATCATCGTTGATTTCATCATTTCTGCATCCGTCGTTGTTATTGAATGAAATTTTTTTCATTCAATTCATGTCGATCATCATCATCATCATAGATCACCAACATTGAACAACGAAAAATCATTAATGTTTCTGACATCCAGTTTGATGTAAAAGGTGTTTTCATTCACTTTCCGTTGCTGTTGTTGTCCATCTTGTCATTCTGACGACGATGACAATGATGACCGATCAAAATGGCTAAAAGGTGTTTAATATTTCGGATATATCCATTGATTGAATTTCGATTGATTCAATGAAAAAACTGATTAAGAAATCAATAAAAAGAAAAGGGAAAGAAATGGCAATGAAAAAAAAAATAAAAATAAAAACTAGCTAATTTCAAATTCACTTACCTTGTTGAATATCAATAGCATCAATTGTTTTTTTTTTGTTTTGTGATCCATTTTCATGGCAAAATTCAAATTTTTCCTGTAAAATCATAAAAAAATTTTGAAAATTTTTTTATGATTTTTCGCTCCACCAAAATCAAATTAACGAAGAATGTTTTTTTACTTCAACCAATTTCAGTCTTCCGTCATTACGCACTCAAAACATACAACATATGGAATGTTGAACGTGTGAAAAACATCTCATTATCTCTTAATGGGATGTCTATTTCTACTCTATCTGTTGTGTAATTACAATGAATATAATCATCCTTTTCATTAATTGAGTTCCGTTTTTTTGTTTTTATCATCATTTCAAGTGAAAAATCATTTTCCGGATTATTATCATTATTATTATTTAATAAATGGTGCGTGAATGAAAATACCATTTTTGTTGTTGAAATATAGTTAAAAAATCTTTCTTTGAATTCTCATTGATGTGATTTTTGTTCAATTTTCATATTTTTTTTGATCATGAAACCACGATGATGATCGATCTATCGATTGATTGATTATCCAATCCAAACAAGTTCATTATTATTTGATCTACACTTGACACGATCAAACAACAACTGGACAAAAGGTATTATATTAAAGGACAAGGATAGAAACATTGTTGCAAATCTTATGTAAGGTATGTTGTGTGCACAGACATTCAAATTGGACAAATTTTTCGTTCGTTTTGTGGATCGAAAAAATCGATGATGATGATTATGTAAGAGCCACAAAAACTACTTAAGGCAAGGCCATTACACTATTTTCATCCATTGTTGACCACAATATGGATATGACCAATGATGATGATGATGAATCAGACTATAGATACGATCGATTTTTTTTGTTGTTGTTGTTGATCCACAAAAAAAATGACATGCCCTTGTTGTTCTATTCATCATCATTATTGTTGTTGTTGTTGATATCATTTCATAAAGTTCCAAACAACATTGATCATAAATCAATAACCTTCAATCACGAATCCTTTTTTTGCTGTTGTTCGATGTCTTCATCATCAAAAAATAATAATAATCACCAATCAATATCGATTGTTGTCGTTCGATCAATCGATCGATCGAACGAATAATGTTCCATGATATTTTCATTGACAACAACAAGCCAGGTTCAATGATCAATAAATATCTATGGAAAAAGAGAGAAAAAAAATTAACAAATTTCATCATTGTTTTTTTCCAAGTGCTAAAAGGGATAAAAAATAAAAATTCCATTGCAAAACAAAAACGAAAAAACGCATCAAACCTGTTTGAATTATTATTCGATGCGTTTTTTTTGCATAACATTTTCCATATCGACATTGAAGTTTATCTTTGATGATGATTATGTCATAAATTTTATTTCTAATCTCATAGATGGATGGGTATTAAAAACATCATCGTAATAGACATTTTGATGAAGATTTTTTTTTCGAAGGAAAATCGACAAAAATCGGGAGGGTTGATTTGCATTTTTCTTGGCTGCATCTTCGATCATAATGCATTTGATTTGATTTCATTTTGAATTTTGATGAATCTGCCATAATGATGATTAGGATCATAAATTGAAATTTTTTTTATTGAGATAAGGATCGTCGTCGTCAATGAAAATTCCTGAAATTCAATTGATTGATTGTCAGGAATTATTGTTGTTTCACGTTCGAAACTATTTCGACTGTATTCTTGGTCAAAATCATTTTTTTTTCACGACCCTCCACACAGTTTGTCTGACTGACTGGACTATCTTCAGGGTTTGATCTTGTCGAAAACAACAAATGGTTAGCCTCATTTTTTTTGTTCAACAAAAACGAAGAACTTCAAAGTTGAAAAAAAAGGTTTTTTTTTGATTGAGAACTTAAGGAATTTTCATCATCATCGTTTATTCACGATAAAACAATCTTCATAACCAATCATCATCCTACGAGGAAAAAAAATTTCAAACAAAGTGCATCACTTGAACGAAACGAAAAGATAAGAAAAAAGAATTAAAATTTTTTCAAAGAACAAATAATTTACCTATTTTTTGTTGTTGTTGTTGTTGAAGGCAGGGGTATGGATGAACAAAGTAATTAGTCAATGTCTTTGTTGTTTGGTTGGTTGGTCATCATCATTATCATTATCATCAAAAAACTCAATGATGATGATGATGATCATGGTAAATTTAGGATAATTTATCTTCAAACCAAACCGAACCAATCAACCCAAAACTGACCGAACCGAACCAAATATTTGATAATGATCTTGTTTTTCTTCGTTCTCGTTGTTCATCATCATCATTTTTCTTCGAAACTTGACCATTGGTGATATTTGAATTGGTGGGCTGGAATTTGGGCAATCAAACTATATACAAAATCATCAACTAAATGAAGAAACAAACAAACAAACAATAATAATCAGGGTAATTGACAAAACCAACAAACAACAATATAGGTCGATGATAATCGAATAAAAAACAAGAAAAAAAATGATTGTTTATATTCCGGCTATTCGATTCTATTTCAACTCAAATTGTTGTTGATGAAAAATAGTCGAATCGAACGAATTTTTTCGTTCGATTTTTTTTTGAAGGTCATCGATTTTGATTGATTAATCTAATTTGATTACGCTAATTGAAAAAAAATAATTGATTTTTCATCATATTTCTTCTTCTTCATAACGTAAGTTTTTGTTTTGTAAATCAAATTACCAAGAACTACTAGCTTCAAGCAACTTTTCGTTACAGATATTTTTTTTTTCATTATCATTTTTACTTCAGGAGTGATGATGATTCCGTTTTTTTTCTCTGTTTCTACTTTGTGACGATAATGATGATTGGTTGATTAACGAAGAAAGAAATCAAAAAGAAATTTTCCAAAGAAACCAAAGAAATTATTTATTTTGGGTTCAAAGCAATAAACAAACAAGCCGCCACTATTTTCTTTTTCGTTAATTGTACGAAAATTTTTTGACATTGGATACAACTGAAGAAATCTTGACTTTTATCTGTGTGTTGGTGTTTTTGTTTGAATCCAATCAAATGAAAATAATTATCCTCGACCAAGGTAACATTTGAAATGGCCAATGAATATGAAACAAACAAAAAAAATTGGCAACTTTCTTGAAAAGTAATCACCAAAGGTAAGTAAAGATAATAAAGATAATAAAACACTAACGTAACCTGTAAATCTGTTTTATTTTTTTCTCTGTTTGAAATAATTAGATGACCTTTTTTTCTTCTTGCTTTGTCTTTTGATTTAGTTCAAGAATATCAAGAATTTCGGGCTATCAATAATCTCCATTCTTCAATTCAGTGTATACCCGGCATCAGGTAAGAAAAGAAAAAACAAAGATTATCCCATCATCATTAAATCATTTTTCCATCTGAAACAAAAACAAAAAACATCCTTAAAAACAATTATGTCAACAACAAATCATCATTATTATCATCATACAGCCAGGTACCGGTTACATTAATTATCTGTTATTTGTCTGTTGTGTGATCATCATCATCATCATTGTCGTCGAAATCTTTCGAGGAATTTTCTGTCAACAAAAAAGAAAAAGAAAAGAAAAAGATTTTTTCCAAATTAGATATATTCAAATTGTTTCAAGTAAAAGACGAAATTGTCCATCATCATCATCAAGATATTTAATGATTCATGGAAACAAAAAAAAGAAAAGAATATGAACACAACAAAATGAAAACATTTAAAATATTCATATCCATGACATGGTCTTCTTTTTTTTTTTGATGATGGTAAGTAATTTCTTATCTTATTGTGCTTAATGTGAAACTTTGAGATTTTTTTTCAGTTTTGTTATCATGTTTTAGTTGTTGTTGTCAGAATTCTTAAGACGGTGACGATAATTTTCTTTTGAATTTTTTTTTTGATTTTCCAGGCCAGTTTGAAATGTGTTAATCTTTCTTTTTTCATTCAGGACTTTTTTTTAGTGTTACGTCTCATTTGTAGTTTGTCGGGTATGGTCCATTGCAATACACTGTTATATCCATTGGGTTTTTTCTGGCTGTTGTTCTGTTTGATTTGTCTCGACTGCAGATGATATTTTGTACGTTTCATTAAACTTTGGTCAATTTCTTTGGCCAAATGTCACATACATAGTGGGACATCTGGTCGGGACCTGAATTCATTTTGAACTCGTGTGTTTGTATGTGTGTGTGTGTGGCACGTGTCGAATACAAAAGCTGTGTTCCAAAAAAAAAATGATTAACAAAAGAAAAAAAAATTACCTGAAACTCTCGAGAACAAACTGAATAAAGTAAGTTATTATCATAAAGGTAAAAGGTCGAATTAATTCGAGACAAAAAATCAAAATCAAAATCAAAAAAGCAATATTCGAATGATAGCAGCATTATTTTGTGTATAGAATGATTATTACCACATACCATCACTATTGCCTATTACTATATACCACTGCCACTACTACCACTATTATTACTTGTTGAATGTTGACAGACAACATTTTTTTTTGTTGAGAAGAAATTGATGATGAAAAGAGAGAAAAATTTTCCATTTTGCATTTTTTGCTGTTTCCATTTATTTTGATTTCATTTCAATTCAGAAATTCATAGTAATCACACATACATCCATGTTGTGAAACAAAACAAAAAAACGGAAATTTTTTTTTCCCATTGATAACATTTTTTATCATTCGCATTTAGCAAATGTTTTCTTGTTTTGATTAATCAGTGAAATGAAATGAAATGAATGATGACAGTGAAAAACAAAACCAATCAACAAATGATGTTCCGGTGCAATGAGAAATCCAATCGATCGATCGATTGATTGAAATCGAAAATTTTTTGCTCTGTGTGCTGTTGTTTTGTCTTTAAGTTTTTCTGTTATTTTTATGGATTGCACACACAGCAACAACAACAACAACAAAAATGAAAATATTTTGTTCAATTTAATTATCATCATCATATTTAAACGGTTGAATAATTTTACTTTGTGAATTGTCATCATCATCATCATCAATTTCTGGAACAGCAACAGCAAAATATTTCCTTATTTTATCAATTTTTATTTTCTGGTTCCCATATTGATTGCCTATTTCTGTTTGTTTGTTTTTTTTTTGAAACTTTTTATTGGTTTTTTTTTCTGTCAATCTGTTTTTCCCCCCAAAAAAAAAGATAATTATATCTTTTTTTTTCAACAACTATTTTAACCCCTAAAGTGAAATAAATAGACAACAAACAAAAATTGTCTATTTTGACTCATTCATTCATCAATCTGTTGTTGTTTTGCCCGAAAAAACGGGAAATATCAAGATAACAAACTGAATAAATGAATTTTTTGTTACTAAAAAAAAAATTTACTGATTGATTTTCAACTGATTTTTCTTCGTTTTTTTGTTTTAGTGATTTTCATTTTCTTTGAAACGAAAAAGTTTTCGTGCAAAAAAACATTCGAAAGATTTATCTGTGTGAATTAAACCGGCAAAAACATTTTGTTGTTGTTGTTTTCATCATTTTCAACGAATTCGGTAAAACATTACCACCGCCACTAATCAATCAATCGATTGAAGTGAATATAAAAAAAACGAGACACAGGTAAATATAACATGGTTTCATTTCGATTTTTTCAAAAATATTTGAAGTGAAAAAAATACGCATTTCGAATCTTGTTAGAGTGAGGGTTTTTTAGTGCATGTTGAACATCCAGATCCAAGATATCTTTCTCTGTGTTGTTGTTGAATGAGTGTTATGTCAAAAAAATTTTGCAGCTGTGCAAATATTTTTCGGCTTTATTTGTTGATGATGATGATGATGGTGGATTATTGTAATGATATTATTTGATGTGCGACAGAAACACAGAAATACAGAGCATATCATCAACCAACTGGTTGGCCTTGTTGTTCTTATTGTCACATTTTGCTAGAGACAGGCATACACAACAACAAAAAAACATCTGGAAAAGATTTTTTTTTGTGCTGGTGTTTTCTGGTCATTTTTTTTTGATTTGTTTGTTTCGCAAGAAACATAAAGCTATAAAAATTCTTTGGTTTATGGATGATGATGATGATTGGTAATAAACATACACAGAGAGAAAAAATCGAAAGGAATTGACAATTTTGCCCACACGTGTGTCAAATTCATTCATTTGATTTTCTTTGCGGTATTTTTTTCTGTGTGTGTGTGACACACAAGGTTTGTTTTGGTCATTTCTTTTGGCCTTTGCTTTGCTGCTGTTAACGATCAATTTTTGTTTGAATTTAGTGACCACCACTTGTTGCTTGCTTGCTTTGTTTGTCGTTGATGATGATTTGATGGCATTTTTTCTTTTTTTTTTTTGCTTATCAATGATCAGGAATCACATTCCTTTCTCTCGTTTATGATGGGAAGTTTTTTTTTGTTGTTGAAAAAATGACCATTCGGTTTCCCATCGATTTTGTTATCATTATTTTATGTTGGAATTTGAGAATGGGAATTTTGAAAGATAAACAAAACAAAACAAAACCCAAATAGGCCTTAAATACTTAATTACTTTTGGACTATTTTTACTGAATTTGAATGATTGATTTTCGATGATAGAAAGATTTAAAAACCTTAAACCTGATCTGAATTGGGTGATTTTGACTAATTTGATTTTCCTCAGCCACCGCCTCAACATTGGAATTTTTTGATTTTTCAAATTTTCTTGAAAAATTCCAATGTAGCTGCTGCTGTAAACACTTGTTGTTGTTGTTATGTACTTTACCTTATCTTTTACCTCTGATCTTCGAACACCAACTGTGTTTTGACTTTTGATCTTTTCTTTTCTTTTTCTTTTGCTGTTGATGATGATCATTTAAGAAAATGAAATGAATGATCATCACCATCAGTATTTAATCAAGAAAATGGCCATTCATTATGATGCTTCTGCCCTTTTTTGTTCAGTTAATTTGTTTTTTTGGTAAAAAACAATGATGATAATGATGATGATGATTTTGTCTTTGATCCGGTTCAGTGCTGTTCTTTTTTTTTTGTTTTGTTTTACATTTTGTGTGTGAAAATTTCATTTTCGTTTTTTAGAAAAATTTCAAGGTCGATCTATTAAAGATTACCTGTCTTTGTTTTCTAAAAATCATCATCATCATTATCATGTCTATGTTTTTTTTGATTATTGTTTCACCTGAAGGCAGTTGGTTTTTTTTCTGTTGAATTTCCATCTGGAAAAAAATTAATTTTGAATCGAAATTAGAATTCAGCCTTTTATTGTTGCTGCCATCATAATCATTATACAATCCTATCCTATTGCATTTTGATAATGATGATTCGTTGATAATCATAGGGTAGATTGAATACTGAAACAAACTGAAAACTTTTAAAATGAAAGTGTTTTTTTTTTTGGAAAGTTTCTTGGAAAAGTTTTCTTGGAAAGAAATTGATTTGAATACAGCCATCACTATACAACTACATTGATGACAATGAACTTTCAATGATATAAACATTTTTTTCAAAATGTGGATGTATATGAATAGTGGTGAGTCATACAATTTTGATTGATAGATTTCTATAGATACAAAATACCACCAACACCTGTTGATGAAAATCTAATCAGAAAAAAAAGAAAGATTATAATCAATGTTTCAGTTTTCAATAAGTCAAGGGTAATGATAATGATTCACATAGATATTCTATGTGCAAAATGGATTCAAAGTAAAGTTATTTGAAAAAAAAACAATCAGGATCCATATGATTAATCCATATCATCATCATCATCATTAATCAGAGCAGCAGCTGTAAATGGTTAAATGGCTTTACATTCGACAAAAGTAAAAAAGCATAGAAATCCTTATTTGTATCGATCGAAATAGGGAATGAACTTTTTTTTTACTTTTCATACAAGAAAACATTATGTAAAGATGTTTGGATGTTTGTTACCACACTTAACATCTTTGTTGTAGAGATTTTTTTTTGATTACCACATAGCTTGATGTTTTTTTACTTTTGATGGTAACCTTTGAACTTTGGCCATTTCATGATTTGATTTTTTTTGATATGAGAAATGAGAAAAAAAAATTTGTTATCAAATCAAAAGTCAATGCATCATCATGTTCTTTTGATTTGGTTTGTCCCCTGTTTGTTTTCCCTTTGTGTGTGTGTGAACATGATGATTGTGCGAATCATCCATAAAAAACATCATCATATAAGCATCTTTAGTTGTTGTTTTTTCAAAGCCATTTTTGGTCATATCATCATCATCGTTATAAACATCTCTCTCTTTGTATAATGATTGTTTTTTTCGTTACATTAAAAATTGCATAAGACCAGAGGTCAATCCGAAATAAATTTCAGAAAGAGAATGAGAATGAGAATGAGAATCCACTTTCGCTTTGATGATGATGATTAAACCAAACATTGTCGAAATGATGATTTTGAATTGAATGATGATTCTTGCTTTTTTCTGGTTTTGTTTTTTATCACACACACATCTGTTGAGCTGGGGGAGGATATTCTCCTCTCTTATATCGGTATATTGTGTTTGATGTTTTTGTTTTTGTCACAATGGTTTCCATTGGAAACCATTGTTTTTTTAATGTTTGAAAACCGTTTTTTTTGAAAATAATTAATGTTGACCGTTTTCGTTTTCTCTTTGTTTTTCACTTTTTCTCATAGAAACATCATTTTGGTTTGAATGGATTTGATGAGAATCGTTTTTTTATTGGATTATAATTCATTCACATTATCTGTCAATCAAACATGAAACCACCACGTTTACCTGGAACGGAAAAATTTCGTTTTTGTGATAAAAAATTTTTCATTCAACAACAACAACAAAATCAATGTCATCATCATTCAGATGATAATGATAATAAGAATTCAGAAGATTTAATTCTTTTATCATCATCACCATCTTCTTGTTGTCAAAATGGTAATGATAATATTCTTTTATCATCTGCATCATCAAATTATTCATTACAATCATCATTATCTGATTCATTATCATTATCATCATCACCATCATTATCGGTAATTGGTGTCAATAATAATAATAAAAATGAATCTGAACAGCAACAACAACAACAACAACGATTGAATAAATTATTTACAAAAATAATGAATTTGGATGTTGATGATGATGATACTTATAATCATCAATATGATGGCCATCCATATAATCGTTCGATAACAACTTCTACAGCAACAATAACAAAACGTAAACCAAATATACCGATATCAAATCGTTTGATGACCAGTCTTTTATTGATCAATAACTTGACCTCTTATAATCATCAATTATCGGATGATGATGCTGATGATGAAGATGGTGATGGTCATCATCATCATCATGATAATGAAGAAAATGATAGTTTTTTACCATCATCTACATCGGTCATTGATCGTAGTTGTTATGAACAACAACAAGAAGAATCGAAACATAATGATAAAAAACAAATAACAAACAACAAGTTATCATCCGAATTATTGAATAACCGGTCTAAAGTGGCCAATATTGAATCAACGACCTGTCCATTATTATCATCCATTAAATCATCAACAACAACCACATCATCATCTGATCATCGATGTTCATCACCATCAAATAATAGTATTGATAGCGGTAGCGAAAGTATTCATAGTTTTTCAATTAGAAATGATAACCATAATGGTGATGATGGTAATGGATCAATACAAACAGCACCTAGTCATATATCTTTGATGAGTAATGAATCTTCAAGTTCAATTTCATTTCTATCAACTGGTAGTAATAATAGTTGTTGTTGTAGTAGTAATCAACAAATAACATCATCTGAATCATCATCATCGGAAGAAGATTCATCATTACGATCAACATCATGTTCACCAATGATCAGTTGTGGTCTTTCTCATCAATCATTATCATCAAATAATAAACGATGTCATCAAAAAACAACTAAAAGATTTTCAACAATATCATGGCAAGAAGAAACTGGATCATAATCATTTCATTGATTCTTAATTTTTGTAAATTTCTTCATTTTATTTTTGTACATTCTTTTTTTTGGACGAGCTTGTTTCTTCTTGATCTTTAGACAAACACAGAAAGAGAGAAAACAAACAAACAAAAAGTATTATTTTTTATACACAAAAAGATCTTTTTTTCACTTCAAATTCCATACCTTTTTTTGTGGATTTCTTTTTTCTTCTTTAAATTATTATATAATCCTGATAAGAAAATTAATGAATGACTGAATGTAATCAATTAATTTCGTTGATCGTTTCGTAAATAAAAACACCATCAAATAAAATCTTTCGTAATTTTTTCGAAATCAAATCAAATTTTGTTTTTGTTTACAGTTCCGTCTTTTTTTTCATTTCGAACGTTTTATCTTCATCAAATGTCCATAAAGTACGTACATACGTTGTTTGTGCGTGGCACGCGTTCGTTTTAGCCAAAAAAATCCTCTTATCTTTTTTATCATTATCTTTTGAAAAGATAAAGACAAGATTTGTTTTGATTAACTTTATCAACCACAAACAACAACAACAAAAATCCTGATTGAAATGTCAGAAATGTCAGACAAACAAAAAAAATAGCTAAACATTTTATTATCTCTTCATTATTATTTTGGACTTTTTTTTCTACATTGAAAAGTTGTGTAATCAGAAACAAAAAGGTGTTTTTTGGAATAATCAATCTGTTGTTTGAATGGTGATCACAATATTTGTGGACAGACAAAAAAACAAACAATTTGTGAGCAGCCACATCCTATTTGCAATGTATGAAATTAAATCAAAAACAAAAACTAATGAATAATAATGATTATGGAAATCTTTCTTTATTAATTCGATCCATATTCATATAATAATGATAATCTCTGGCCTCGACATCATCTTGAAAGCAAAAAAAACAAAACATAAAAATCCATTCGTTTTCGATTAAAAACGAAAAAAAAACATTCAACGGTAATCCTCCATTGACCACAATGGCAAAAAAAAATTTGAAATACTTTCATCATATGAACATATGATGATAAATGGAACATTATTGGAACATTAAATTGTTTTTTTTTGTTTTGAACATTTTGTTGTTGTTGGTTCATCTTTATTTATGAAAAGATCAAGATAAATGATGGATTTTTTCGCATAAATTAAACCGATAATGATCATCATTATCGTTAAATTTTTTTTTGTACTAACTTTTTTGTAATAATCCTTTTTTGGGTATTAAAGTTTATTTTTCAAATCAAAATCTTTTCGTTAAAAATACGGTTAACCACCACCATCATCATCACCGGAACAACAGGTAAAGTTCGGTGACATTTTCTGTTTCTATTTCGTTTCGTTTGTCCGGGTGAAGTTATCTGGTCTGGTTGCCTGGTTATCATGTAAATTCTTTTCTTTTCTTTTTTTGTTGTGGTTGTCGTGGTCACCTTGTAAAATCAATCTTTTTCCAAACAAAAAAAAAATGACAACCTTTGTTTGCTGTTTGTGTATTTCAAGTTCAGAAATGAATAACTTCAAAGGTGATTTCTGACCTCCGAACATTACATTTCAATTCATTTCAGGTAAAGTTTTTTTGTTTCACTGACATTTTTCTCACAAAAAACAATGAATTGACAAATTTGAAAAACGAGAAAAACGTAAAAGTTACGTCGAACATCGATCGATCGATGATTAATTGTTACATCTGTCACATTGTTTGTGAATTTCTCTCCCAATGACACTCGGACAAAAAGCAAAAACATTCGAAAACCGGAACACTTCGGTTGGCCGAACGAACGATCATTGTCAAAATCAATCAATCCAATCGGATCGGTCAAACAACGGTGTTTTTTTCTTGGACAAGACTGACAAGGTAAGAAAAATCTCCAAAAATGATAAACGATCAAAAAAAAATTTGGAGAAAAAAATTATCAATTAATAACTTCCATCAAGTAAGTAAGAAAGATTATCATTGTTTTGACATAATCATAATCATCATCGATTGAATATATAAACGAATGATCCATGACATTGAAAAAGAAAACGAAGGATTTTCTTCTTTACCGCAACTTTCAAAACTTTCATCCCACACACATCACATTAAGGTAAATCTTGTTTCGATTTTTCGAGTTTCAAGTTTGTTTACGATTTTTTCTTTTTTTGATTTTTCGAAAAATGTCAAAAAATTTATGGCAAACAAAAATTTATGATCCAAAAAAGCGAATGAAAATCCATTTCTGACCACCATTAACGTCAAATTAATCCTGAAAAAAACGAAAATTTTTCGTTTTTCACTTTGCTTTCAATCATTTGGCTTTTTTTCTCGCTATGAAAATGAAAATTTTGCTGTTTTAAAAACAAAACGAGCTAAAAAAAGACAAAAATCAAAGATAAGAATTTTCGGGTTGTTGAAAAATCTATTGTTCGTTTTGATAGACAAACCAACCAAACTGTGAACAAATGAATCATGTTTTTTAATTAATGAATCTATTTCATCATCACTTCGATCACTATCATCATCAACAGACACGAGTGAAAATGAAAAAAAATGAATATCCAAAGATTTTCAATGAAAAAATGATAAATTTTTCAAACTGTTTCTTGTTTCGATCTAGTTTAGTGATGATAAATCTTTTTTTCTTTCCTTTTGAAGATTCGTCGATTCGGTAAGAAAATGAATCAAAATAAATGAATAATAATAATTTTCTTCTTGGTTTTTTACTTGCAGGGGTTTCACTGTTGATGATGATTATCATTCATTATTTATATTCATAACTCTTTCTTTCCTTTTTTTCAAAGATTTTTGCTAATTGATAAGAGAATACACGATGATGATGTTGATACAAGATATATTTCAGAATAGAGAATCGAAATGGTGGTGGAAACCAAATGAATATCGTTTTTTGGGCAAAACTCGAAACAAGATCAAACGATATATATTCAAGTTAGTTAAATATATCCGATTTTGTTATCATAATGAAAAAATCGGAAAACAACAACAACAACAAATGTCATGTGAATAATAAATAAATTAACAGAACAACAACAACAAAACGGCAAATCTTTTTTTCTTTTTGGCTTCAAGATTTTTATCGTTAAGATGAATGGACCCGAACATCAACCAAACGAACTAAGATTTGTTCATAGAAAAAAATCCATCATCATTTCACATGGATTTTTTTTCTCGTTTTAATTGTAGCATCCTATCGTTTTTTGGCTATTTAAATTTCTTCGAAAAAAAACGACAAAGATGATCTTGAAAAACCAATTCGAATTGATGATGATGATTTTATCAATGATCTTTTCTTTTTTAAACTAAACGATTAACTAAGGTGGACAAAATCCATTTTCGTTTTTTTTTGTTGATCCTTTACATATTATGACATTTTTGTCGGATGATGAACTTGATTTCATTTCATTTCAATGTCATCATTAAGCAAAGAAAAAAAAATTGAAATCATAATCATGATGATTAAGAGAAAAACTTCCACTCTTCTTCACTTTCCTGTAACTTTTTCCACTCTCTTTACTCTAATTTTTTTTATTATTTTTGAAAGTTTTTTTGGTGAAATTACTTTTTTTTTCTCTCTCTCTCGATTTCTATGATGACCGCTTTTTTTCTCCCCACACTCACTCATTAATGTTTATTTGCCCAGAAAAGTTTATTGCTTGTTTGCTTAAACCCAGCGTGTATGAAAAGCAAATATCCATAATCATCATAATCATCATATTCAATTTTTGACCATGAAAATCAAAACGGAACATTAAAATATTGGATAAACCATACACACACGACAAATGATTAAACGACAACCAAAGTTTTTTTTTCGAGGTTAAAAACTAACTAACTAGGATAAACTTTGTTGGCATTTACCATATATATGATTTTCCAAAAACATTCATTCATTCAATCAAATCGATCATAGGAAAAAGTTCATTTTTTTATCTTGATCATCATAATCATCGATGAAAAAATATTTTCAAAATCAAGATTTTAAAATATTTTTTCCGAAATGAAAAGCAAACATTTTCATTGGCGCCCGACCAATTACACAATTATCTATTTGTCTCTATTATATCATAATATCAATCACGGGTCAATCAAAATTGTTTTTGGTCAATTATCGATGTCATTACGATTAAATTAACAACCGTGAAAAAAAAAGAAATTTTTTTAAAATGTAAATACTTTCAGTGAAAAAAATACAAATATGGTAAGTGTTTGTATGTGTGTGTGTTTGTGTGTACAAAGTAACAAAATTTATAAAAATTTATAAAACTCGATCTCGTGATCTTTGAATGATGATTTTTGATTTAAAAAAAAAATTGTTGTTGACGATGATTAGATCAATTAATATTGCTTCCAAGTTTGCCTGAAGAAATGATTTAGTAAAAAAATTGATTGATTGATTAATTAATTAAACTTCCGAAATACGTGTTCCATTCATAGGAATTATCGTAAATGATGATGCTAAACGTTTAAGTTGTTGATCATGTATAGTAGGAAAAATATGACGATACCATTTCGATGATAGACCACTGTTTGTTTTTTTGGTTGGATTTGAAAAATTCATTAAAATTTTTCAATCAAATCAAAGGAAAAAAACTTACCGTAATTCCATTGAAATATCATGTTTAACTAATGTTTGTCCTTTTCCGTTTGGTACCATAATCCAATTGGATTGTATTGAATCACCTTGTTCCAAAAGTCTAAAACCACCAGGTTGTTCAATTGAATTTGACCATTTACGTTTTAAATTAAATGTTTTTGTCGGTAACAGACAACTAAATTGCAAATCAAATTCAAAATGATCACTATTTTGTTCTGGATCGTGATCAACAATTGTCCAACGTGATATAAGTTTATCAATCATATTTCTATGAAAAGAAATAGAACCAAAAATCAATCAATCAATCAATCAATATTAAAAACACAAACCTTTCATATAATAAACGTGCAAGAATATCATCGGGACTAGCATTGATAATAATAACCGATGTATGTTCATGATTCAATGTTGTTTTCGATGTGGTCGAAGTTGTCGAAGATGTTGTTGTTGTTGATGATAATTGTCGTTGATATCGTTTACCATTGATAATATTCAAATAAAATAATGATTCATAATTTTCAATACAATATTGTAAACATTTTTGTCCACGATTAATTTGTTTTTCATTTTCACCATTACACAAGGATGGTGCAAAACATATGGCCAGATTTTGTATTGTCATTTGATTTGTTGAAGAATTTGCCGCAATTAATGATAAAAATTTAAGTATTATGAATAATAAATAACGATGACAATCATCCAGATGCCATAGATAAAATTCAAATTGATGATTATTTTTAGATTTTTTAGCCATTATAAACATATCTATTAATTCATTTGTTAATAAATGTGGTCGTAAATCTCTTAACCATTGTTTCAATAAATCAGCAACATCATAAACAGATTCACCAGTTATTTCGAAATTTATTTCTTGTTGTTGAATTTTTTCCCTTAGAATTTGAATACGTGATTTAACACCAGATTTTCGAAATATTCCTAAAGAATTTCTACCGAATTTTAGCAGATAAATTATTGCATTTTCAATTGAATCCGGTAGAATTCGACCATTATTTTGTAATTGTAATTGAATAAAATCATTCATTACAGGTAATTCATTTGTTGTTGACGTTGGTGAATGATTCGATATTAATTCATCCAATTCGGATGAATGTACAAGATAAACAGGTAATTTTTCTGAATTATCATAAAAACTATAACGATGTTTATCCAAATTATTATTATTATTATTTACAATTTGTCCATGGCTAGATGTTGATGATGATCGTGATGTTGATGTTGATGATGATGATCCATTAATAAATGAATGTTTTTTATCCGAAATCCAATTAAATTTATCATTATTATTATTATTATTGAAGATTTGTTGATGATCATCATTTCGATGATAATGTTGTTGTTGTTGTTCAGAGTTTTGTTTGTTCTGGTTACCACCATTCGTTACGATTTGATCATTATTGATAATGGAATGTTTCAACGTAGATGGTATGGTACCACCATTAAGATTAATATTTTGTTCATTCAAAATTTGAGATCTTTGTTGTTGTTCAATTATCGTTTTGGTCGTTGTTTGGGTTTTGGATGGAAATTGTTCTGTTGATTTGTTAATACTGTTATTATTTTCAATGTTTGTTTTTATGGTAAGATCATCATTATGTTGATGTTCCAGTAAATTATTGGTCCATAAAATTTCATTATTAACTTTTTCCAATAAAATATCACAATATGAATTAAGATTTGCATTAGCCAAACGTTGTTTTAAATTATTATCATCATCATCATCAGTATTAAGATTCGATTGATCCAACATGAAAAGAATTTCATTTTCAATTTGTTTGATACTTTCTAATGCACGTTTATAAACATCATTATCTTCGTCGTTGTTGTCGGTATCCATCGTTTTTGTTTTTCTGATTGTTTGCCACCAAAAAGTTTTCAAGATTTTTTTTTATCACAGCCAAATCGAATTTCACGTGAAGAAAAATAAATCAATCTGTTTTACGGGAAAAAAATTAAAATCAATTTTCAAATTAAAAATGAGCCAAACAAACAAACAATCGAAACAAAAAAACACGCACATCAAATTTACCTTTGTGTTTTTTATTATTATTTTAATTTTTGCTAATTAATCAACTACTACTACTCATTTAGTATGTGTTATGTAATCATATTATCATCAATTTGATGATAATAAACATAAACGCAAATAAATAACAAAAAACAGCCAGTCAGTCAGTCAAAGTCAGTCAGTTTATCGATCGAATTTGATTATATGGAAATGAGGCAAGGAATGTAAATGAAATAAAAACACACATCAACAACAACAATAATAATAAAAATGGACAACAAGCCAGGATGTGTAATGTGTGTTTTTCAATGATGATATATGATGATGAATGCAGTTTGGTTGATGGTGGTGGTGGTGATGATGAGAGCGAATCGATAATCATTAAGTGGTACGACGACGACAACGATGATGATGATGATGAATAACGGCAACCATCGTTGTTTTGACAATCAATATATATTTTCACAATATCAAATTTTCTTTTTGGCTGGCTGAATGAATCATCGAACGTTTGGGAGAAAAAAAAATCATCCTGTTGATATCATCCATTTAGTCGTTCATCATTTATTCATTCATCGATTGTTTCGTTCATCATAATTATCGATTGTTTCGATTGTTGTTTGTTTTTGACTCAAACACGATTTTATCATTTGAAATTTTTCTTTGTTGTTGTAAATTTAAACTTTTCATAATATTTGTCACTGAAAAAAAAATGAATTCAATGGATAAAAATAATGATTGCTATTTTTATTTCTATTCTACCTGTACAAAGGTAATATGTTTTACACTTTTTTTTCAAAAAAAAACTGATTTGATTTTCGTTTGTGTTTAGGAAAAAAATTGTCCATTTAGACATTGTGATTTGGCACTTGGTTCCGAAGTTGTTTGTGAATTATGGCGTGTTGGCCGATGTCATGATCGTAATTGTCCATTTCGTCATATGGAACCGAATATAAAACGTTCAACAAAACAATGTTGGTTTGAAACACAACCAAATGGTTGTCGTAAACCACATTGTGTATTTTTACATACAAAACCACGACCAACAATAACCGATTTACAGAATAATATATCCGAATGGATATTACCAACTGGTGTTGTTGGTGCTGGTGGTCAAAATCAACAATCATCAGCCACTACTAATAATACCAATAATAATGATTCTCAACAAACACTCATCAATAATAGTCATCAAGAGTTATCCAACAACAACAACAATAAAGAATCACATATCATACTCAAACCACAACAACTACAAACAACTGAACAATTAAGTATTTCGATTGATGATAAAGATGATGAAGATGAATCGGATGAAAATTGTGAAACAGAAATTGTTCCAGATATTATTGCTACTGTACAAAAACCAGCTGTTAAAACATTGGAACAAATAAAAATGGAAAAAATTCTTCATTCATCAAATGAACATTTATTGGATACAACCAATAATAATAATGGTTCATATAATAATTCTATAACAACAGCACCTGTTAAGATTGATATGAAATTTGATAATAATAATCTTAACAGACATCCATCAACAACAATCGTATCATCACCATCATTGAAAACTGAAATGAAACGTTCGATTCCAATAAAACAACAGGAAAATATTCAACCATCACCTTCTTCGAAATCACCACTAGAAAAGAGACCAATAAATATTGTAATAAAAACATTGGAACAAATTCGTAAAGAACGTGAAGAATCTGAACAACAACAAACGACAATGAAAGGTGATGAAATGATTTCGAAAGAAAATCAAATCAATTCGTTAAAACGAACATCAATCAATGATGATAATAATGATGATGATCATAATTCATCATCCAATCCACCGAAACCAATCAAAATACGTCGAAATCGTTTGACAGTACCAATGATGATGATGATGGGCAATCAGAATTCAAATTCTAGCATTGAAGATACTAATGATAATGATAAACATAATGAATTATATTCACATCAACAACAAATGAATTTATCATCGACAAGGGAGAAATCTTCAGATCAAGATGATCAATACAACCAACAACAATCAACGAAATTATCAATGATAAAAGATGATGATGATGATCTTGATCTAGAATTTTTAAATGATAATAATGATCATCATAGATCATCATCAATAGGAATCTATTCAAATGCTATTACGGATGATGATGATGAATTGATGCGTGAAATTGATCAAGTAATCAATAGCTAAATTGATTTGTTCGTTTGACTTTTGTAAATTTCTTCAAAAACCAATGTTCATCATTTTTTTGTTTGTGTTTGTCACTTTTTCTTTCATTTAATTTAATTGAAAAACAATCCATTACCTTGATTGCGCATGTATAATTTATTTGAAATTTTTAAAAAATAAAACATTGAAATGATTGAAATGAAGGAATGTTGTTTCGATATCAATATTTACGACAAAATAATAGAAAAAATATTAATATAGCAATAATTAAATGTATCCATCCATTGAAAAAACAAAGAAATCCAACAACAGCCGTACGTAATTCATAATGTCGTCGTAATGCCAATGCACATCCTTGTTCATTAAGATAAGTTTTTCCAGCCATATAACATGATATTGGTATAGCCATACCATAACGGGGATAATCATTAAATGATTCAACACCACAACAACGTAATTTTATCTGAAAAAAATCAATAAATGCACGTGAATCAGCCTGATAATTATATTGTTGTAGCTCTCGTAATAATTCTTTATAAGCAAATATATATAATCTTGTTCCATAACCACGCATAATGGCCAATGTAACGATTGCAACTTGCATACCAAAACAAATTAGCAAAAATATAAGATACTAAATAAAAAACGGAATGAAATGATTAGAATAAAGTAATTAGAAATTTCAAAACAAACATTACCAATATAATCATATAGATATTTTCCCAACGAACAGCTAATATACCAAATATTGATAATGCTAATGTAAAGCTACTAATAATAATCATTATATATGCAGCCCATATTACATTATATGTATCCAAAAAACGACTTGGTTCATATGATTTTGGATCAGCAATTAACCATATACCGATACCTAATATAGTTCCGCTCATCATCTGATAATGATAGAATTGATTAATTATAATTCGATGATCAATTTACAAAATAAAACAAACAGAAAAAAACTTACAAAAAGTAAAACATTGAAAAAAATAATAGCCCATGTTATAATACGATTCATTAGTCGATTATCGGAAACACAAAATGAACGATAACAATCCCAAACATAAACACGTTGTGCATTCGGATTTGATGATTGTGGTGATTGCGGTTGTGGCTGTGGTGGTATGGAAGTTGTTGCAGCAATATCAATTTTTGGTAAAGTTGATGATGATGATGATTGTGGATGATTAGGATAACCTTCCGGAGATGATAATATTGTTGAATGTTGTGGTGTTGTTGTTGGTGAATACATTTCGCGCGAATTTGATGACTGTTGTTGCTGCTGCTGTAATGGTATAAGTTCATTGTCTTTAACCGTTGTTGAAGCCAGGTTTTTTTCTTCTTCTATCTTATGATCGGAAAATCCTTGACGAGAAAAATCCACTTTTTAGAAAAAAACAAAGCGAAATGATGATTGAAACAAAAAAAAACGAAATTTCGCATAAATTTTTCTTTCAAGCAATGACATAATATGAAGGATTTGTCGAAGTAGGAAAAAAAATGAAATTCATTCTTTTGATGGTGATGAGTCGTCGATTTTTTTTTGTGAATTTAGCTTTCCATTTATTATCTTTGAAATTACCTCCCTTTATGGTGAAAATATTTAAAAAAATTAGGTCATTCCACTTCACGAACGATAACGAAAATAACGATGGCGATGATGATCGACAAAAAAAAAATTTATATAACAATTCGTTCAAATATATCCAATGTTTGTTTAATATCTTTAATACGATTTCGTAATTCATCTAAAAATCCAAATGATTTATTTAATTCTTCACATTTTGATATGATTTTATACATTAACTATGAGTTAAATAAATAGAAATTCAATTAGAAAAAACAAAGATTCGAAAAACAAAACGAAAAAAAATCAAACCTTAATATTCGAATCAATTTGATCACAACATTCGATAACATTATCATGATAAATTTCCATTACATCTACGGATTTATTGGTCATATCTGTTGAATATGAATTTATATAGGTCATTATTTGATTTAAATTCTCTACAATCAACAATGTTTGTTGTTCAATATCGTTGATGAATTTCAATTGGAAAAATTTTAATTTCTGTTTTTCTTCTTCTTTTTCGATTTTTTCACTTTCGATTTTTGGCTCGGTTGTTTCAGAATTTGATTCTTGTTGTTCATCATCATCAACATTCGAATCTTTATTATATGATTCGAATGTTTTTTTCGACCATTCAATTATCTGTGATGATAATTCTGGAAGAGCATTTTTCGAATCTTTATCAATTTTATTCGATTTGGAAGGTGATTTTTGATCATCATCATCATCATCGTCGTCATTGACAAAATCATCCAAATTATCATCCGTCTCAGATTCAATATCAGTTTGATCATCAATAGTTTGATCATCTTGTTGTTGACGGTGATGATTATATTGTGATATTTGTGTATATGATGATATGTAATCTGGACACATTGATGCTTCTTCTGATTGACGAGTGAAAAATGAAAAGAAAAACATTAGAAAAAAAGTTTTAATCAGCAAACATTACCTGTAGTACTTGATGGTGAACTGATCGGTGTTTTCACTTCGGTTGATTCTTCTGATTCTGGATCCATTTTTTTAAAAATTTAAAATTTTCTCGAAATTCGGGTTCGGGATCAGGATCAGATGAGAGAGAAAAAAGTGTTGGTTTGCACACTCCAATTTTTTCGTGTGTGCACGCCAATATTCACATGTTATATATGGATTTTTTTTACGATCATTTTCAATGAAAACAGAAATATTTTATTTATTACAATAAATTTTATTTATTTATCAAAAATTTATAAAGTTCGGGTCATTTACAAAATTATTACATTCATTTTCAATTCATTCAAGCCATAAGGTGTGGAAGTGTGTCCATATTCAAGACAACTCCCGTCTTTCCAGAGCAATTCATTCAAAGAATTTATTCCAAACGTGTTTTAAAAAATTCGAAATTTTGTTGTTCTACCTCTCTCATTGATGCGAGATAAAGCATCCGCTTGAATCGTTTATTATTTTCGACGTTAGCAATTCGTAACCAAATTTCCAGAAATAATTGTTATTTCTTTCTCCATTAGAATAGGTTCATTGAAATAAAAATCTTCACTGAAATCAGATTGGAAGTGATAAAAGTTGATGATATCTCGAAGCTTGTCCTTTGTACATGGAAACAGCTGGCGATATCCAATTTTCCATATTCCGATCGTTGATGACAAGCGAGTCGTCGACCATAAGTTTAAAGGTTCAAAAAGCTTTATATTTCTTGTGAATAGTGAAGAATTTGATGGCTGAATTCTTGAAGGATCAATTTTTTCAAGTTCTGATATGTTGATTTATTTGTTAATCTTGTAAATTCTGCCATTTAATTATATACGTTCTACCTCAGCTGGGTCAATATCAAGTCGCTTCATTTTGTAGATAGCTTTAATCATATCAGCACTCAGGCCCTCAGATGATGGTATGTTCGGTTAATGAGATCCTTAGCTTCACTGGGGAGCCCTACAGGAGACAATCCTTTATGACTACCAATGTTTTGATTTGCACCTGTTTGTTTAAGCAATAATGCTGAGAAACATGCCAACCCACGATACTTGGTAACACCATGTTCTTTTAACATATCAGTTTTCAAAATTGGAAAATCTTCTTTACTGAAAAAGTCAACTGCACGGAAGAATTTATAATAGTGAATCTTTATGTAAAATATTTTAAGGTTGTTTTGCATTTGCGAAACACAATTTAAAAAAAATTCCCTTGATGGTGAACTGATCGAGGGTGTTTTCATTACTGATGAATCTTTTGATTTCGAAAGTTTTTCCATTTTCAAAGAAAAAAATTTCGAATTTTTGCAATAAAATTCGAAAATTCGAATTAGTCACATGACACACAGACGTTCATTCATAAAATCTGTGACCATTGTTGATTCGATTTGATTTTACGATGGTTATGATAATCGGATCAAAATAT